AAATACAGATCAGCTTTAGGATCTCATAATCATGTTACACACTTTATCTGAATCTTTATGAAAGTTAACTAATCCAAATTGTTGCTGAATTGTTTATGATGGCATTGGCTGATTCGCTGGAGTTTTAATGGTTTAACCCATCTTCCTTGCTGCAGGATACGAGGATATTGCATTCCTATAACCTGAGCATATTATCTCTAGCCAATACTGCCTCTTATCCTCTGAGACTTGAAAGCACTCTATCGAAGAAGGAGATAAGAGATATATCAGGATAAGAACTCTTTTATGTCTGAGAGGGATTCTGAATGACGAAGGTTGGTGAAGTGTAGAGAGTACGGGTAATCACAGATACTCATCGTGTGAACACAACGACATTATACTGGAGACTTAAGCATGTATGTAAACATGCGTATGCAAAATTTTCAGGAGCATATCAAAACTGAATATTTTTATGACAGCCGATTTCCTGGGGTAAATTCATGGAGGATCACTGCAGATCTTATACAACTATTGCATTTTATTCTGCAGAAGTCATAGCACATATTGTCTATGGACACGAATCATATGTATTCTTCTTGAATCTTGGTGTGCTTTGGGTATTTCTACCAGATCTATGCAGTAATCCAGTGTGAGACTTCCTGTGATAAAGACCTCTCACTGCAGCTTTCTCTCCTTGTGCAGGGTGACTGGTCTTGTCTCCGCCCCCTCTTGTAGTTTTCTGCAGGCAGCCTGTAGTGGGTGGAGCCTACTGGGTCCCTTCCACAGCTCTGCTCTCTGCACAGGCTATGTACAGCACAGTGATGATATCACTACCAATTTTACAAGGGCTTATCGAGGTTTGCACAGACATTTAGTGCAAACACAGTGGATTTATATCCTTTGTGGCTATTGAGGAATAATGTATAATAAACAATCACACTGGAAACTGAATTCATTTGTTTTTCCTAAAGTGTTACTAAACCCACATCAGTAAAATCAGTCTGTATATACAGTGAAGCATGCTTGTTATACTCACTGTGGAACCTAAGTTGTTAAGCCTGTGCATTGTGTAAAAACGCTGTTTGATCCTGATTTCTCTGATCCTCCCCTTCTTCTAGTGTCCTCCTCTTATCTCCTGTAAAGATATATTGTGTGGAGACACTCTGCACATGCTCAGTTTGATGTGTATTGCTAGAGAGGTTTTTTTTTTCTCCTTGGGAGAGTGCATGTGATCAGCACAGGGCCAATCAGCACTGCCCAGACAGAGGTCAGGGGTTCTGCATCCTCCTAAAGCAGAATGAAACTTCCTCCTCAAGCTTTAACCAGTGCTCTGCTGGACACTGATAGAAGTCACAAGACTGCTCTATCTACTGATGAAAAAAGGTATTTAGCAGTTTATATATACTAGAATAATTGCATTTCCATGTTCTGTGTACTGTGGGAGACCAGATATAGTGAATTCAGGGTCCGGGGAGACCAGATATAGTGAATTCAGGGTCGTGGGTCTTTAAATCTTTCTTTAACTCTTTCTTGAGTTTGGAATAAATAAGCCAGTTACATTGGATAGTTCTGACAAAGTATTACATTCTATTATGTTTCTCCAAGAAACTGATGGCATGTCACTCAATGAAAGCAAAAAGTTCTACCTCGCTGGTCATAGGGTTCTGCCCTGTTGCAAATGGCCAAAGGCCTACTTTTGCAAGTCACAAAGTACATTTCACACAAGTATGGCCAAAGGAGAGGAGCTTCTTCTCCCAGGACAAACTTCTATAGACCACAGGTTGGCCGTTTCTGGTTCCTTCTACACTTCAAAACCCATGAGTGTAGTCCTCAGCATTCACTTTACCTGATCCTAGGACAGACACCAGGCAAACCTACCCTTGCTGCATGAACAGAGCCTACCCAGAATCTTACCCCTCCCATCACACAACAAAAATGTTCAGTCGGGTTTGGATAAAGAAACTCCAACTTTATTGCAAAAATTTGGCAAACAATCATTCCAATAAGAAACGACGAGTAACTGTTAACTTCTCCAGCGAAGTGGCAATAAAATCCATTTTTAGATGTCAAAGATTATTTTTCCTCAAGTATCCCAGAGCTCAGTCAGTTCCCATAAATAGGGTACTTTCTCTTAATTCCTCCTGTCACTCTCATTCCAAAGAGCACAGCAAGTTTTTACCTAAGTGCATAATCCATTGGTGGCACTCCAATCACTGACTGCACCCACCCACCCTTATATAACCTATCACTAGGAAGTCTAAGTGACAAGCTTGGTACCCATGAGGCGGAACCTACCCTTTAAGGGGCCTAACACCCATTTTACAGATACAGAAGATGTACAATGTATACATTTATAATTATTGTTATTAAAAAATAGAAAGTCAATTCTTAGAATATAAAATGTTAAAAATATCCATCTTTGGTAGATTTCCACAACCAGCAACAATGTAAACTCGTCTTGTAAAATATGGATTCACGACTCCAATCCTGGGTGCTGGGCATATCAGTGTTTTGGTCCTGAAATCACCACGTATCTAGAAGTACACCACACGTCTTCTGATTTTGTTTTTGTTCTGATCACTATACAATACGGTGCTTACATCTTTTCTTCTGTGCTAAAATGGCTCATCATTCTGGAAAACAAAAGTGAATAAGAAATACGTTTCCCGTTGAAGAACAGCCCTGTCTATAAGCAAGAAGATGGTAACATCGTAAAAAAAAACAGAAGCTGTACAAGCAGGGCCATGGATAAAGGGGTACAGCCAGTTCTCCTGTACAGGGCACAGGCCAGCATGAGGGCCCAGGCAGCTGGGTGAATGGCATGTGAGCAGGGAGGGTGATCAGCATGACAGGGGGGGCAATTACTGGAACTGATCCCCTGTATGGCTGTCTCTGCAGCAGCTGAAAGCTGGCTTCTTCTCTCTCTCCGGCTGGCTTTCAGTGCTGCAGAGAGAACCATACAGGGATCGGTTCCAGTAATTGCCCCCGCCACCACACACATCACCTTCCCTGTGCACCATTCCATTTCCCCCTGCTGCCCAAACCCACCTGTGTGCCCCCACCACCACAGTGCTGCCGACTTTCCTCCTCTCCTTCTGACTGGCTGGAGAGTGGGGGAAGAGTCTGGTAACTCTCTCATATTTACCATCCCCTTTCTTTCCTAAATGAACACAATGTTACCAATCACTTTGTTCATTCATAATTAAAAAATTGTGTTTTTTTTTGTTGGGGGGGGGGGGGGGGGGGCCAGGCTGGCTGTATGGAGCCCCGTGGTTTCTAACAGCAGCCCTGTGTAAAAGTCACAGAAATTGGACAGGTGTAAGGTATACCAGTTCACATCCTGCTCTGCAGAAATAGTGGAGTGGATGTGCAGCTTCACCTGTAATTGCTGCCTTTCTTTGAGGCCAGAAAGCCTACTGGTACCTGGATGCCTCCATCTTGAGGCACAATGCTATATTCACAGGATGCTCCCAAGCAACCTTCTAAAAGTAAGAGCTCACGTACTGTGACAGGTGGCCTCATGATCCTGAAGAGGTTTAGGCAGGTACTCTATGCTGATGTGACCAGAGCTAGCAATTGGTTGGACCCCAAGTCAATGGAGGTCAGGGCTGTGTCTGTTATCCAAGCAAGGGCCAAGGCTGAGCGTGGACAGCAGAGTGGTCCATATCCAGGCAAGAGGTCAGGGCAAGCAGCAATCAAGAGGGTAATGCAGTCCAGGAATGAGGTCAAAGCAGACTGCAGCCAGTGAGGTAGTCCATTAAGCAGGCAAGGGTTGGTAAAAGGAGCTATCATGAACAAGGCACGGCATGAGGTACAGGAGCTAGGTAGCTATTATCACAAGCCCAGAGCCCTGGGCTTGTGATGCTCAAATAGAGCATGGGGGAAAGCAGAGGGGTGTCACTGTTGTGTATTGTCCATTGCCTAGATAGATAGATAGATAGATAGATAGATAGATAGATAGATAGATGATAATAGACAGAATATAATAGACAGATAAATAGATATTGCTTCACACTAATGTAGATGAACATGAATGTAGGCGCCCAATAAATGATTGCAATCTAATTAATGACCATGCACACTGTACTGTATAATGAACTGACTCATTTCCTGGCTCATAAACAGAAAACACATTGCAATCTGCAGACGATAACATTTCTGTATTCCAGGAGTAAAGTCTGCCTTTCATATCAGCACTTCTGTTTACTGTTGATTATATTCTGAGAAAATGGTCTCTTCACTCTGACGTTCCTTAGGCTGTTACATTAATGTACCTGTTACTTATAAATATAACCTTACAAGAAGCCATTTTGTAAATTGAACTAAGCTAGCCTTCACATTTGTTATGATGTGGATATACTGGAGCAGCCTTTCTCAACCAGAGTTCCATGGAACTCTAAGGTTCCTTCAGAAGATGTTAAGGGTTCCTTGAGCAATGAGCAATGTTTGCCTTTCAGATGAGGATCCACTGAAAGCAATGATCGTTTTAACCCCTTGACGCCGACATCACACAAATATGTGGCCTCACGGAACTGGGCTTTTTTCCATGGGGCCGCATATTTGCGTACCTGTCTTTGTGCTGGGAGCGCGCGTGTCACTGAGAGCCCCGGGTCCCGTTCTAAGGATCGGGACCCTGGACTCCTGATTCCGCGTCACATGATCACTGTGATAGCCTCTGATTGGCTATCACAGTGATCAGTCACTGTACAGCCCGGCCACCTTGCTTTTTTCTCTCTCTATGAATGGAGAAGAGAGATACATTGTATCTCTAACTCCTGGCATAGAGAGAAAAAAAAATGTTTGTAAAAAAAGAAAATAAATATTAAATAATAAAAGAAAAAATAAAGAAAAATACCTAGATCAAGGTTTGATCTAGTTCAGTGCCAGGGTTAGTATTTGGGTCAAGGTCAGGGTCAAAGGTCAGGATTTAAAAAAAAATTGGTATCAGTGTCAGTTAGTGTTAAGGTCAGTGTGTTTTAGGTAAAAAAAAAAAAAAAAAGACAAAAACAAAATGTGCACTGTTGTTTCTGGGCTGTACTACAGGTACAAACAACAAATAACATACACATATATGGTATCATTGCGATCATCAAGAGCTGGAGAATTTATTTTGGGTTGTTCTTTGGTGGTAGGTTATGGTTGTAACAAGAAACACACAGCTAAATAAACAAAAATGATTTTTTTTCACTATTATAGGCCAGTTTTCCTTTGATAATAAAAAAAAAAATCAGTAGATATCCATTACCATTTACCACCAAATGAAAGCCCAATTTGTCTTGAAAAAATCAAGGTATAATCCACCTGGATGTACAAAGTAGTTGTGATATGTACGGTTTTACTATCACATGTCAACGTTGAGGAATTGTGCTCTAGCATTTAGATTGGTTTTACCCTTAGGCGTGAAGGGGTTAATTATCTCTGACCATAAATGTAAGGAGAGTTCTTCCCAGTGACCATCCCACTAATGTACTGTGAACTGTAGATAATTATTAGCAGGGAAACCCTGAGACCAGAAAGTTATTCCAAGCATACCTCCTTGTTACAAAGGTTGAGAAAGGCTGTATTGGATTGTGATACCAGTGCTTACATTAAAGTGAATGTGACTGTCACCAAACATTCCCTGATGGTGAATCCGTCACCGTCATTTAAAACACATGGACCTGAAATTTGTACATACAGTTAAGTCCATATATATTTGGACGAAGGCACAATTTTCATACTTTTGGCTCTGTATGCCACCAGAATAAATTAAAATGAAACAATCCAAATTAATTCGAAGTGCAGACTTTCAGCTTTAATTCAAGGGGTTGAACATAAATATCAAGTACAAATTTTAGGAACTGCAACCATTTTTATACACAGTCCCTCCATTTTCAGAAGCTCAAATGTAATTGGACAAATGAATATAATCATAAATAAAATGTTAATTGTTAATATTTTGTTGAGAATCCTTTACTGGCAATGACTGCCTGAAGTCTGGAACCCATGGACATTACCAAAGACGGGGTTTCCTCCTGATGCTTTGCCAGGCTCTAACTGCAGCTGTCTTGAGCTGTTCTTTGTTTGGGGGTCTTTCTGCCTTTAGTTTTGCCTTCAGCAAGTGACATGCATGCCCAATTGGGTTGAGATCAGGTGATTGACTTGGCCATTGCAGAATATTCCAACTGTACTGTGAAGCGCCGTCCAATCACCTTTGCTGCATTTGGCTGAATCTGGGCTGACAGTATCTCTCTAAACATTGCAGAATTCATCCGGCTGCTTCTGTCTTCTGTCACATCATCAATAAACACCAATGACCCAGTGCCACTGGAAGCCATGCATGCCCATGCCATCACACTGCCTCCACCATGTTTTACAGATGACGTTGTGTGCTTTGGATCATGAGCTGTTCCAAGCCTTCTCCACACGTTTTTCTTCCCGTCATTCTGGTACAGATTAATCTTAGTTTCATCCGTCCAAAGAATGCTTTTCCAGAACTGGTCTGGCTTTTTTAGATGTTTTTGGCAAAGTCTAATCTGGCTTTTCTATTCTTCAGGCTTACGAATGGTTTGCACCTTGTGGTGAACCCTCTGTATTTGCTCTCGTGAAGTCTTCTCTTGATTGTAGACTTTGACAATGATACGCCCACCTCCTGGAGAGTGTCCTTCACTTGTCTGGATCTTGTGGATGGGTTTTTCTTTACCATAGAGAGGATCCTGCGATCATCCACCACTGTTGTCTTCCATGGACGTCCATGCCTTTTTATGCTGCTGAGCTCACCAGTGTGTTCTTCTTTCCTCAGAATGTATCAAACTGTTGATTTTGCCACTCCTAATGTAGCTGCTATCTCTCTGATGGATTTGTTTCATTTTGAAGTCTTACAATGGCCTGTTTCACTTGCATGGACAGCTCCTTTGAATGCATGGTATAGGTTCACACCAATAGATTCCAAATGCAAATACCACACTTAGAATCAACTCCAGACCTTTTACCTGCTTAATTGATGAAGAAATAACGAAGGAGTAGCCCACACCTGGCCATGAAACAGCTTTTTATTCAATTGTCCAATTACTTTTGGTCCCTTGAAAAAGGGGGGATGGCTACTCTCAAATTAAACCTGAGAGTGTGCACTTTCAGCCCATATCCATTATATAACTATAGCTTGAATATGTTTTGATAAATACTTGAAAAAACCTGATGGATAACTATCTGCCTAGAGCAAGGGTCTCCAAACTTTTTAAACAAAGGGCCAGTTTACTGTCCTTCAGACTTTAGGAGGGCTGGACTCTCATTGGGAGAATAAAAGGTACTGACGTCAGTGGGAAAAAAAAATATTCCATTATTGGTATCAGTGGGATGAATTGTGCCCCGTCATTTGTTTCAGTGGGAGAAATTGTACGCCATCTTTGGTGTCAGTGGGAGAAATTGTGCCCCATCATTTGTGTCAGTGGGAGGAATTGTGCCCCATCTTTGGTGTCAGTGGGAGGAAATGTGACCCATTGTTTGTGTCAGTGGGAAGAACAGTGCCCTGTCATTGGTGTCCCTTGTTGTATATCATGGGAAGGAATTGTGACCCATCATTGGTGTCAGTGGGAGGAATTGTGCCCTATCATTGGCGTCATTGGGAAAAATCTTGCCCTATCACTGGAGTCATTGGGAGGAATTGTGCCCTATCATAGGCGTCATTGGGAGAAATAGTGCTCCATCACTGGTGTCATTGGGATCCCTTGTTGTATATCATGGGAAGGAATTGTGACCCATTATTGGTGTCAGTGGTAGAAATTTTGCACTATCATTGGGAAGAATAGTGCCCTATCATTGGCGTCATTGGGAGGAATAGTGCCCTATCATTGGTGTCATTGGGATCCATTGTTGTATATCATTGGAAGGAATTGTACCCCATCTTTGGTGTCAGTGGGAGGAATTGTGCCCTATCATTGGCATCATTCAGAGGAGCAGTGCCCTATCATTGGTGTCATTGGGATTCATTGTTGTATATCATTTGAAGGAATTGTTCCCCATCAATGGTGTCAGTGGGAGGAATTGTGCCCTATCATTGGCATCATTGGGAGGAATAGTGCCCTATCATTGGCGTCATTGGAAGGAATAGTGCCCTATCATTGGTGTCATTTGGGATCCATTGTTGTATGTCATTGGGAGTAACTGTGCCCCTTCATTGGACAATTATGTCCCATTGCTGGTTTCAGTTCATGAAATAGTGCCCCAAGGGGCCAGATAAAAGCAAGCAAAGGGTCACATCTGGCTCCCAGGCTGCAGTTTGGAAACCACTGGCTTAGAGCCTGCACGAGTCCATACACATATCAGGTAAAAACAAGGTGTTAATTCCTTAAATGGCTAGAGACAAAACAGTTTTGCACTGAAAGTGTACTAGGCAATACACTGCCAGTGGGAGCTACATTTTTACAAGTAGAAAACGTTTATGGAGAGAAAAGTTAGATACAAGCAATGAAGCACATTGTAATACAATAAAATAACAAGGCAAACACAAGTATAGACCAACCATTCCATCATGCACAATCTTCCTGTAAAGGGTCATACCCAAAAGGCTCTACAAGTATTCTAAGCAAATGATAAAGTACGAACTATAGAGAAACATATCTGAGGCTACATTAGACAAAAACGGAGGAGGTGTAGGAGGGTGTAAGGTAATATCAAGACATACCCAAGTCCGCGAGGAGGGAGGAAGAAGGAAAACAAAGTTGGTGGGGGGGATAGGAGATGTAAGGCAGAAGACGTACAGAGCATAGAGAGACAAGGACTTGAGGGGAGGAGAGGTCGAGGAGGTGGTCACAGAAAAGGACTATTGTGATAGCCACCGGTTTGAGCTCCTCTAGACAGAATATTTTCCCCTAGTATAATTAAGGGATTAACTTGAACCCCAGGAGTCTATCCAGGTGAACCATTTCTTATCAAACTTCTTGGGGCAACTTCTACATCGGTAAAGCATTATCAATGCTTAAGCGATGCAATGAAGAAATAAAGCCACAGTAGGGGAGTGAGATGATTTCCACTTTAAATGGATGTCTTTTAGGATTCTCTCTAAATATTAAACAACTTAACATAACAACCTGTGTCCATCCCATTGAAGATACCCAACAGGAGTATATTGGGATCCAAACCAAGGGCAAACCAAACAGCCTGTTACCGTAAAGAGAAGAGGAAAGAAAAAAAGTTAGAAGAAAGAAAAAAAAAAGGAATCAGAAAGAAAACTTAGAGGAAAGGGAGACTAGAAGAGTCACAGATCCAGGGCTAGCACAGGCAGCAATTATAAGGGGTCATAACTAGTAAGGGGCAGGGATGGCAAGGAATATCGTATCCAAGGTTCCCAAACCTTAAGAAATCTCGGATGAGAATCATGAAGAATGTTAGACATCTGTTCATTGATCAGCATATCATTCATCCGGGTCTTCACCCCTTGGAAGACAACCGAAGGGGTCCTCCAAGCTTGAGCTATGGCGCGTTTGGCCGAAATAAATAGGTAGGATGCCAGTTTTTGCTGAGATCCAGACAGACCCAGGATTGGGCAATGTAGAATGGCCACCCTTGCATCCCTACGGACCGTAATGTGAAATAGTGTTTGTAGCAAACCAAAAACCCTTGACCAGAAGTCTATCAATCGCGGGCACGACCGCCAAATGTGTAAGACGTTCCCATGTAGACCACAATTCCGGAAACATCTATCTCTGCCAGTCGGATTAAAGTGCGCAGTCCGAGCCGGGACGCAGTACCACCACAGGAGAACTTTGTAGGCTGCCTCAAGAGTAACTTTGTTGAATGAACATTTCGCCACCGTCCCCCAGGCCCTACGCCAATCCTCCGCTGCAATCGAGCCACCCAGATCTCGCTCCCACTGAGAGATATAAGACAGGGGTGGCGAGGAGGACCTACTGTTAAGGGAGGCATAAATTACAGAGATGAGACCAGGGGACCCTGGGGATTGCTGACAAATGTGTTCAAAGGACGTTTTGCGGTAAGGATATGTAGAAGTACGACGGAGGGAAAGGACCCAGTGGTGCAATTGCAAATATCGATAATATTCCCGTGGCGGGACCCCCCTTGATTCTTGAAGAGATTCCCATGAAGGAAACATATGAGCGTTCAAAAAATCATGTACAATAACAAAGCCATGGGAGGTCCACCAAGAGAAAGAAGGGGGATGTTCTAGGCAACCAATCTTTTAAACTATCTTTAATTTTCTAAGCTGAACTGAAAAAGCTAAAGATAGATTCTGAATAGTTGCTTTGTGAACGGCTGCTCCAGTTTTGGTAAATTCCCATTTCCTAATTCAGGGCAGCACCATCAGTGCCAATCTGTGTCCATTAGTGTAGCATATCAGTGCTCATCATTGCAGCCTCATCAGTGCCTCTTAATCAGTGCAGCTTATCAGTGCCCGATCAGTGTCACCTCATCTCTGGCCATCAA